ACGGCACCTCCTCCGAGACCCGCAGATGTTGGTTCTTCTTGCTGCTGTTCTCCTTTTCGCTCTTCTTCTTGCCACCGCCAAAGAGGCCCGAGAAGAGACCACCCTCCTTCTCCTTCTTGGCTTCCGACTTCTTGCTCTCCTTCTTTCGCTCTTCGGCCAATTTGTTATCGACGTTGTCGCGGTCCACAATGATACTTTCTCTTCCCTTGGAAGACGCACCCTCGATTGAGTTCTGGAGAACATCCAAACGGGCATTGTCCTGTCCCTTCTCGGCGACTTGCTGCTTTTTCCTCTTCTCTTCTTCCTTCTTCTTTTTGTCCTTGTCGTCACTACCGCCCTTGAGCCACTTTGACCAGCCTCCAGAGGATTTGCTCGAAGATATACTCGAAGCATCATCGTCTCTCTCCTTTCTCAGTTTCTTTTCCACCCTCTTTTCTTCTGGCTTCTTCTCCTCTGGCTGTAGAGTGGGAATGAACGTCAACGTATCGGTTCGGTTTGCGCCACTGCCAGGTAAGACAGATGGGTGGGAGGCCATGTCGTTCAAGGTGTGGTTAGGGGCATTGGTTTGCTGCTGCTTGGGCTGCTGCTGCACCTGTGGCGGTTGTTGAGGTGCCGTAGGTGTTGTCGGGCTTGGCGCAGAGTTGGCTGAGCCCGGACGTTTGCTTGAACGAGCGGGAGGCTCGTCCATAAGGGGCTGTGAAGGGGCATGCTGTGAAGATGAGGACCTCTGGGGGAATTGCTGCCTTTGCGCGTTCTCGTCTGTTGCTGGCGACTCAACAATGGCAGGAACCGGGGGCTTGGCATCAGCCGAAACTGAAGATGTTCTCGTTGGGTGTTGCTGTTCAGGACGTGTGCTCAGGGGAGAAACAGGTTCCTCGATTTCGGACGAAGCACCGTCAGAAGTCGTGCCCAGATCTTGAGAGAACTTGTGCTGGCGTCGGACTGAGCGATTGGGGCGCGAGAAATTCTCTGACACTGGCTCTGATTGCGCTCTTTGCTGCGTAGGCAACGGTGGCACTTCGGGCACGTCAGATGGCAGAGGGGGGACCGTATCCGCGGAGTCAGAGGAATCCGTGTGGGCATGTCGATTGGCGACCCGCTTGGAGAATGGCAACCGATCTGAGCGTACACTGCCGTTCTTTCGGTAGGTTGTTCGGGTTGACCTGCGCAGTCCCATGCCGGGAGCTACAGGCAAGATGGGCAGATCCTCGGCGCCAGCCTCCGGTTGAGCACCTTCGGAAAGCTCACGCACCACTTTGGAAGGGTCCTTGACTAGTTCGTTCAGGTTGAGCTCAGGAGTTGAATAGTCTCTGAGTGAGCTCTTGCGCCCGAGTCTCTCGGCGCCGTCCACGTACCCAACGGCTCCTCTTCCCCCAGAGTTGTCGATTTGTCGTGAGAGCATGCTCTTCTTTCTCCGCAGGCCGCCGCCAGAATCGCTTCGGCCCATACCGCCGTCACCGGAGTCGCCTGATCGCCGCCGAATAGTCTTGACACGATCCTCTAGGAAGGTCTTGAATTCCGTCGGGGCCAGCTCGGGATGGACTGCCGCAGGGACCCAGAGTAGCCGTGAAGGATCATTTTCGTCATCGTCTCCCGTTGGCGCGATAGGAGGCATGGCGACTAGGGACAAGCCGGAAAAGGGGAGCATATCAGGGTCAGCATTGTTTCCGACATCCATAGACATGCGCCGCAGGGCCTGCAAGTTGTTGAGTTCCTGCGCGATGTCGTTGGGGTTCTCGATGCTGCCTAGAGGAAATTGGGAGGACTCGTTCTTAACATCTCGTAAGGAGATTGGCGGCGATTTGGGGCCGTTCTCAAACGACATGCTTCGCTGGCTAGGCGACCGGGTTGGCAACGTCTGTGAATGTTTGAGAGTCGTGGAGCCATTTTGTGCCATGCCCAAGCCCGTCTTGTCCGACGCTGAACGGACCATCTGCCTACGAGGATCGTCGTCGGAGTGGTCGGATTCGAACTTGTTGTTGAGCTGGTCGGTGTAGGACTGTCCGAGGTAGCTGATGGGTCGGCCATCGCTGTCGTACTCCTCGTCGCCGTAGAGGGTTCCAATGGTCTCGGTCACATGGTGGCTGGGGTCTGAAATTGACAGCTGGCTCGCATGACCGCGTCGACTCGCAAAGCTGCCACCAACATCGGCGCGGGGTCTAGATGAGGTCTGCGGATAGCACGGAGAGTTAGTCAAAGGTGCTGTTCAGGGAAAGGAGGCTCAGGAAGTAAAATTCGAGGCCTGAAATGGAGGCAAAGAAAAGCAGCGCGCCATGCTAAACAAGGACGACTCGCAAGGCTCTCGAAACGTTGGGTGCCAAAGATGGGTGCAGTGGCGAGTTATGGGCAGTTCTACGCACCATCATCTAGGAAAGGAATGGCCTTGAGGAAGGCCGAAAAGCCAATTATTCCCTAGAATACACCACTCGTCTGCCAAATGTCTCGTTCGAAAAAAATGCGTCGTTGAGCTCTCATCTGTCGAGGGTGTAGTGCAGCATAGGCGCGGCGTGTGAGCGACGGGAGTGTCGAAGGCGGGAGTTGGATCAAGGTTGGGATCGGGATACGGATACAGGTATGGATTCTTCGGTCGGCGCGTCGTTCAAGATCGCATGGGGACGGGAGGGAAGTGTATTGGAGCGGTACCCGGGATGTACAACGATAAGAGTTGAAAAGACTGGAGAAGTCCACCGTTGCAAACGAGAGATAGAGAAAAAGCAAGCGGCAAATTATGCTGTTGAGAGCACGGAACAGGCGAGGATGGGTCGGTTCGAGACTGGTCCAGGTGGGCAGGTGGCCGGCGTGTCTTGTGCTAACGTTGTGTTGTGTCGTCGGGTAGTGGTAAGGTAGAGAGAGACAGAGAGAGATGATGGTGGAGGTGGTGGTGGTAGGCGAAGTAGTGGTGGAGGAGCAAGGTAGGAAAGGTTGAATGACGGGACGTTGCTGGTTGTTGGAAGTTGTAGCGCTCGGTAAGGCGAATGGTGTCAAACAATCTAATGGTTCGTTCACCTTACCGTCCAGTCTTGTGTCGAGAACTGGACTTTTTGGAGAAGGTATTTGGGATTGGTGCCAGTGCAGACAACCTTGGAAGAGACAGGCAGACGGGGCTGCAGCCAGTCAAGTCAGAAATCAACCCCCTACTGCAGGTCGGGGGAGCGGGCAGAAGACAGAGCGCGAGCGAACGTGAGGGTGACTGGCAGAAAGGGCGATGAGCAGGCGCTACCTTCTCCAGTACAGCACCAAAGTCGAGGTCACGTCGTGGAGATCAGATAGTGTACTTGGGGGACCACCGAAGTAGACGGGTACAAGTCTATTTGCAGAGACGATCCCTGAGAGTGTGCCATTAGAGGAGTCGGAAGCGAGCGAAATGCTGGGACTGATGGAGTGGAGGTCTGAGGGGAACAAGTACCGAGTACTTGGCTCGACCCCCAATCGGCTGGTGTCATTTGTAGCCTGGAGAGAAGGGCGCCACCAGGACTGCATTAGCGCCAGCCAGACTGGGCTAGGCGTTGCTTTGGAAAAAGCGGCCAGTCAAAGTAAAGTGAGGAAAGTGCGGTGGTCTGGCACAAAAGGCCACCTCCCTGTCACGTGCCCAGCCAAAAGCCAACGGGTGCCTGCAATGAACTGCCAACAATAAGGTACCTTAGGTGCGGACTGCCCAGTTGGCGTACTCATAATATCTCAGGTACCTTACCTCATGTAAGATCATAAGGTCCAAGGAGATGTATACGGATACAAAAACGTAGGTAATTCGGTCTGGAAGGCTTTGTGGAATATCCGGGACTGAATTCTTTATCCTTCAACTGGGCATTCAACACCAAGTGGCCCAGGGTCGCGCAAGCAAAGCATCGAATAACCAAAAGATTACCTAATGCACGTAAGGGCATCCTCTTACCTCATGATACATTAGTCTATCGTCCGTTCAGCTGAGTTGGATTGCATTTTGAGTCGTGCATGCGTCCGTACCCGTGCCTGAGCTTACCTAAACCCTACCTACCTAGACTAAGTGAGGTACGTATCGTCCGTTCACTCTTTGCAGAACTGAAGACAGAGGGGAAGGAGCTGCGAACTGACTGGCTGCCGTTTTGGCATCAAGTTGGGGGCAGACACGGCAGGCGGCAGGATGGACAACTGCATGGGCAGGCACAGCGGGGGGCGCAGAAGAAGGGCGGGGAGGAAGGACAAACAAACCCCGAAAAGAAACGAACAAGAAAAAAAAAAAGATAGCGGGCGACTGGCTACACAAGTCTGCAACCTCAACGTTTAGAACGATCAATATTCTCAATCATCGGCGGAACAATACGTAATACCCAAGCAACATGCACAAACCATCAATGACATCGAAGCCTGCAAGGGCCCTCATCGCTGCTACTCCAAGGTACGGATACTCTATACGAATACTCTCGCATCATAGGTCCAAGCCAAGACCCCGACATTTGATGCTGGATCATGACCCGAGTCCGACACAACTGGCTCCGGCCGACTCTCCCCAAAGAGCGCATGCTAACCACGAGGTCCGGATATTGGCAGTGGATGAGACATGGATGGGCCATGGCCGCACTGCGTACGAAGTATACGCAGTACTTCGTACACAATCACTCCGTCATCTCAATTCGCCAAACGACGAAAGGAAATTCGGTCTTTCAGATTACTCGCAATGAAACAAGGAAACCACAATACCGGTTCAGGGCCCTCTCGCTTCTCATCTCTAACTCGAGCTGAATCTGTCACGCTCAAAGCGCGTTTCCTGTCCCCGTCACTGCCACAACCAGATCCGAGCATAGCAGGGACAACCCACCTGGCCCAAGGTCCAAGGGACGACCCATACGCACGCGGCCCTAACATCGTACTTCTATTCACGCCTGCGACACGACACTATCCCTCCAACTTCCTACAAGTGCTCTGTGTTGTGCCACGCAGCTCCACGAGCACGACAGGTTGGCTCTTTAAAGGCACTGCGCCCTCCCGCCAATCCTCGCACCCTCGATGACTGCCCTCAGCTCATGTACTACCTGACTTTTGACGTCGAAACAGCATCGGTCCTTGCTGCTGGCTGCTGCCGAAAATCGACACTAGCACGACCCCGTTTGCCTAGAGTTACAGGGCGATCCCAGAACCCCAACCTGGCCAAAGACAAAGTCCCCAGAATAGCTCACCACTTTATGCCAGGGAACATCGGATCTCAGGACAAGGTTCGGGCGCCTCTTCACTGTTCAGTCACTCAGTCACCAGTGTGCTTTTCTTTTTGTCCGAGGCATGCCTTTATGTTACCTTCTCCACGGCCTCCGAGTCTGTGCCAACGAATACTTCCGCGCTCCAAAGTTGAGGGTTCCCTGAGCAATGCGTGGAATGCAACCCATGCACCATGGCCGACTTCCATTTCCTTCTCGAAGGACTGGATACGGGAGAGACACTGGAGTCTGGAGACCGAGGGCTGGTCAGATGCAGGGCCAGTGGACCGGTCCCCATCGTCACCGCCTCGGGCCCCTATTCACCACCGGCGGCCCCGGCCATCGACGCCGTCTCATCGGGGTCATCTCCCACTTTCGCCCCTTGAGCAAGTTGAGCCCCCTTTGTGCCTAGGGATATTTCTGATTTCAAGGCCCAACCAGCCTCTTGGATCCACTAATACGCCAAAGTGACCTGAATCGGCAATCTCGTTTCCAACGCCCGCGGCCCAACGTCTTTTTTTCATTTTGCCGTTTGCGACTTGCCAAGCACCAAGTTCCCATACGTCAAGAAATCAAGACGTCGAGAACCTTCGCCCCTGTCCACAGGCACAGTCCAACCACCATCGTGATCACGGGTCCACGGCGGTCCATTGCGAAGCGCCCCAGCCGAGTCGCAAAAAAACCGTCGCACGGGGACGACCAACCAGAGGCCGCCCAACTGCGATCGCAGCGTAGCATGTCATCCCATCTGCCGCTTCCTAACAAGGGTGTCGCTGTCCACTGGCATCCAGCGAAGAAGACCCGGCAGCCGGTCATAGGGTAGTCGCTGAACAGTGGAAATGTTAGCCAGAGATAGCGCTAATGAGGTGTATGGCAGCAGCCCTCAACTGGTTGTGCATATGGCTTCGTCGATTTGCGATCGCATCAGCTCGCTGGGCGCATTGTGAGAAATCTCGAAATCAGCATTCTGACTCACGATTACACGGCTTGAGCTCGTTCATGTAATTGCCATCTTCGGTAGCAAGTGTTGGCGATCAAGCGATCGACAATGAAGCATTGGAGCATGCAGCTGAGCCAACTACACATATCTCGCACCTGTGTGAAGCTGCGCTGCGGGCTGCAGCGATATGCCGTCTGTCGTCTGTCAGAGGGACGTCTGGGCCCCCAAACATCAGAGTAACACCAATGGAACACGATATCCATCTCCCAGATGCCAGTCGGACGTGTGGCTCGTTGTCCGCATCCTCACCCTTACAGTTGCAACAGACAGGGTCCGCGTCCTTCCTTGCAGGCTGGTCGAGAAGTTGAGCCAAAGAGCTTGCACGAGCTATTGAAACTGTGGCGGAATGGGTAGATTTGCAGCAGAAAGTGTGGACTAGACCATCTCGAGCTTTGTCTTACATTGGTCATCCAGCACGATCGACAGTCGAGTTTCCCCGCGCCGCCACACCATCTCCAACGCACGGGAGACCTTGGTGTGCATGATCAGGCTGACGTTCAACTGCAAGGTGTGTGTGTACCAGCCTTCACCAACCCTCGTCATCGCATCACACATCTCAAACCGATGCAGCATATCTGCATGGACGTCGCACCTACTGAAGATAATGCCATGACTACGGATCCCAGTCAAATGGCTTTCCGAGCCGTTACGCACTGGCTCCAGAGCCAGACTCTGCCGGTATTCTGCTGCACTACACCGGGATTCCGGCCGCGGATGCCAACAGACATCGAAGCTGACAGTGTGCCTTTATCACAGTCTCATCTGACCAAGGCGCTGAGCCAGCAAGAGCAGCATCATCAAAGCCAGTCGCCTCAGATCAGCGACGCGGAAACCAGCGAAAGTGTCGCGCGGCGCGCATCATCTGCCCTGTGGACGAAGCCACTGCCACAGCTCCCGCCGCCCAACATGTCCCTGTCAGGCAAAGTCGCCATCGTCACCGGCGGCGCGCGAGGCATCGGCGCCGCCATCGCGTTGAAGCTCGCACGAGAAGGGGCCAGGGTGCGTCTCTACCGACCTCAATCTTGTTGAAATGAGAATTTCGGCTAAAGCTAGATTTTCGTGATTCGCGTGATTAAAGGTCGCCTTCACCTTTGTAAACACTTCATCAATAGCCAAGGCCCATGAGGTCATATCCGAGATCGAGGCCTGCGGGTCCTCGGCGACCGCCATCCAAGCCGACGTCTCCAAGCATCAGAAGAAGGTCATCGAGCGGACCATGATGGCGTTTGGCGTCACCAAGATTGATATCCTCGTTAACAACGCCGCCGCGACGCTCAGCGCGACCCTCGATGACACCACCACCGAGGACTACGACCGCATCTTCGACACCAACACGCGCGCCGTGTTCTTTATGATGCAAGCCGTCAAGCCGCACATTGCGCCGGGCGGTCGCATCATAAACATCTCATCCGTCGCCGCGCGCGCCGATTCGCCAGGCAGCATGGCCTACGCGGGGAGCAAGGCGGCCGTAGAGGCGTTTACGCGCGTCGCGGCGCGGGAGATGGGGCAAGCGCATGGCGTGACTGTGAATTGTATCAGCCCGGGGACGGTCAAGACGGAGATGTTTGACTCGCTGCCCGATGACCAGCGCAGCGCCGACTTGGAGAGGGCCTCGCTTACGCCCGCCGAGGCGAGACTGGGCGCCGTTGAGGACATTGCCGACGTTGTTGCGTTTGTGGCGAGCGACGAGTCGAGGTGGATTACAGGGACGGTGATTCCCGTCAACGGAGGCCGTTTGATGAACTGAGGCGGTGATGAGTGAGTTCGGAGGAACTCACGGCTCATGGAAGTATGCGACTGAGTCGCCGATGGAGAGTATCATGAGGGATGCGAAAAGTTATTTATATGCTGGCCGGCCTATGGGACACAAATGGGAAAGAGGAGGGTCGGTTTTGACAAGGCTGTATAACAAGTCAAGTGTACGATGTGAGTCTGGGTCTGAGACATCGGGATGAATTTTCTTGTATTCCTTCCTTGGCTTTTTTTTCTCTTCTTGTCTTCCTTGGGTAACAATACGGGTGTCTCTGGGTCTTCCGGGTTTGGGTTTCTATCTGGTGGGAGCGTCGGTCATGCAGTGCTACATGAAGCTGTACTTTTGGTTTTTCTTGGGATTGCCTGTCAGCTTGTTTGGGAGCTGCATTTCTTCTTCCTCTTCATGTATGGTAACGACTTTTGAAATTTCTTGAGTACACGGCCGGAAACAGTCTGGAATACCACTTACGAATTTGCTCTTATGTATCGGTCTTGCGGAAGCTGTGAGCTGGTGTGATGTGATGTGAGGCTGAGGCAGATGTTGGTGATCGGGCCGGCGGCCTTCGTATATAAAGACGGAGCCAGCTCTCGCTATGGTATGTTCGTCATGTCTATGGTCTTGGCTCCTTTCTGGGTAGGAACAGAAGAGATTGGGTGGCCTCATTTCCACTGAGGAGAACTGGGAGCTGAGGTAGGAGGATTGGAGAATGTGGATACGAGAGGAAAGGCTGGGCAGACGCTCGTGTGATCAAGCCAAGCGTGTCTCACCCACTCTGTTGTCTTGTAGGGTCCCTGTATATTCATCCGCGCGGAACGAATAATAATATGGCGTCGAAGAGGGTTAAAGAGAGATGTCTGGAGATGTTTTGAGGCATAAGGTAAGTCAGGTGCTTGTTTGGGCTTGGGTTCAAGCACTTTCTGCAACAGGGTGCCGATATTTCCAGCCTTCTAAAGGTCCCTCGCAGTGGTTCTTACCAGCTAGAATGATCGCTGGCGTAAGCTGTGCCTTTTATATTGCCTCTCACATGGCCTCCTTCCTCATTTGACACTTTGAGGTCTCCGGAACCACGTACTGAATCTATTGAGTCGTTGGATTCGGTCAGACAAAATGGCATAAAAGCCCTCTTTACTTTCTCGCTTGCCGGCCTCGGGACATAAAGTGTTTATTGCTGTCGATTACGGGAACCAGATGCATGATAGCATGTCCATTTCGGAATCAGTTAGAGCTGGTCAGCAGCTAGCCAATACCGATCGCGTGCTTGTCGACACTTCTTCTACCGTTCAAAGATAGGTACCAGTGTAAAAGTAGAAAGGAGACTCACCCACAGCAAACCCCCAGTCCGGCATGGAATAATAGACCAGCATACGGTAAATCGGCTTCTCATTTTACAGAACCGGCCATATCTCCACATAGCTCGTTGCCACATCCCGAAATCAAAACCTGAAATGTTATTCTCCCATCGCTCACGCCATGGCGAGAGGGGCATGACTCCTGCTTCTAGCTCCCATCGCTTCGAATAATCAAACATATTGACTAGCCTCTCCTCTCGAGCTCATTATACAGCCATGATGTCCTACATCCCTGTCTTCGTGAGCGCGCCAAAGAAGAAAGCTGAAGCGAAAAGTGATCCGTGAAATGACGGCTGGGCTGCTTTCTGACCCCTTCCGTAAGCTCTAGGAGGCCCGCGAACATACCTTTCAGAGATCAAGTAATCGGTGGCAAGGAGGATGCGGAAAAACATTAACTGAGGCGTCTGGGGCCAGGCCTTCTCATGCCATGGTTTCTGGAACATCTCATGGGATCGATGCATGGTCATGAGTACATATATCCCAGAACAAGGTCGGAAATGTGAGTGTTGATCCTGACGCATACGAAGAGACACCGAGAATGCTACACATCATAGATTACAATCTCTGGTCTGCGTCTAACGCAGGCGCTTGGAGAGAAGACGCTGAGTCCATGGCAGCGAAAGGTAGGAGCCACCCAAACGTCAAGAATTATCGAGGCCTCCCTCACGCCCTGTTTGATACCATACGAAGTCGCACATGACATTGCCGTCGCACTGCCTCATTGAAACACAGATCTAATTTGGCCTTCTAGTCTCGAACCACTGCCTCCGTCAACTTCCCTTGGCGGTACCATTGCAGACGGGTTTTGTGCCGTTTGCCCTAGTACTATGAACCAGGACGACGCGGCTGAGAGGTCAACTTGCTATCGTCCATTACAGCATATAGAAACATCTCGCTTATTAATCACTTTCTGCCAGCAACGTGATATACGTCGGAGAATACGGTGGCGATGTGAGCTGCTGTTATATGACGGAGGACTCTGGTCATGTTTAAATAGCAATGTCCTAAGTCCCTCCTTAACATGGGGTCCTCAAAGTAAGTGAACTCATACGCATCGGAAATTAGCGAATTGGACGCAGAGGTTTTGGACGCGGTTGAATCTTGCTTTGCATTGCTGGAGACAGAGTAGTATATAGTCTGTAGAGATAAGCAAGAGCCGTTGAACTAGTCGAACCTTCTACCGGAAAATACACACCCGGCATTGCGGCACTGCTGTCCTGGCCTTCGCGAGCGTATATTTGTTGACCTCTCTCTAAGCTATCGCTCACAAGCGCGACTAGCTTTGCAAGGCGATCCGTATCTTCGATGAGAAGGCCTTTGCCGCCGCTCATTCCTCTCAACCGTGTATGCTTTGGCCGTTCGCTATGGGGGAGAAGACACATCTGACATTTGGATAACATTTCTGGCCTGGAAGGGCACTCATAAACTCTCTTCCTGAGACGTAGGTGGAGGCTTCATAGGCCGAGCATAGATTCTGCGCTATACACCAGCAGGGCCCACAAGTTCAAGATGTCAGCTTCGCACAACGGGCGGATGGAACATTTAGGGCTACAAGCCATGTTACGTTTCTACTTTGTTGTAGGAAGGCCCAAATTGAGAAAAGATCTCAAAGAAATCATCCAAGGTATCATACCTATATGCTAGTCTATCCAAACGTTAAGTGCCTCAATGTAGTTCTCTGGCCTCGCGAGGGTATTGGACGGAGACAGCCGGCCGCCAACACATTGCCATCGACTGCATGGCCACGAACCTACCAGTAGGTCAACATAACCGCTGGAAAGTAATAACAAAGAGTAGTCTTCTTTTGACCTACCAACTCCCGTGAGCTTCTTGGTTTCTTGTGCCCGTGTTCGTGCAGAGATACGTACGCATAGACAACTGGTGTTCACCTACGAAAGTCTGCTTTCAGACACACCGCCATTATATGTGGCGCATGTTCAGTATTATGAACGGGAGAAAGAGAGTACTTTGGGAGGATTGGGTGAGTTCGAGTGACAATGGACCAGTAGACAACACCCTTGAGAGACGAAGAACAGTCTTGACTAAATGAAATCGGGGCGGCATACTTCAGGCACTTGAGCATAGGGACAAGAGACATTCGACCTGACAAATGCGATGATATTACGTTTGATTAGAGACTAAGTTCCTAGTTATATGTGTAGGGCGGAGTTGGGTATCATAATTGTAATTGTATTTCAACGAGTGGATGATGAGACGTGCGAAATCGCGCCAACTCCGAGCAGATGCAAGCGGGAGGAAAACAAAGCGCCTAGACTCTAGCCCTCTTCTAAGCGGACGTCGTCGATCGTCGCCAGATCATGAAGGCCGCAACTCCAGCGCAGGCCGTCGCGCCCAGGGCGAGATAGAGGCTTGTACGGTCTGGGGGCTCCTCTTCGCTCCGAGGGAAAGCGGTGCTGGGATTCGTCGCCGCCTCGGCAAGGGCAATGAACAGCTCGCTGATACTGGACCACTTTACTGTGACGTGAAGGGGCGTGCTCATCATGAGGCTTGACGTGTACGTGTCTGGCTGCGTCTCGCTGCGCTGCGTTGTCTTGTCCTTGTCCGCCTTCAGAGCTGTGTAGATGTTGGGAAGGTCGTCCAGTTGCGGGTAGCGCTTGCGCAGGTCGACGATGTGAGAGAAGGAGTCAGGATCCGAGGAATCGTACGTATAGCAAATAAGGTCGCAAGCGTCGAGCTTGGCCTGATTCTCCAAGATGGCGGGCTCGAGCTCACCCAGCTCTTCCATAATCATGTAACACTGCTTGCCGCCAGGAAGCTCTACGCTGTTGACGGCTCGGCGCGGCTTGATCGTCGGTCGGTGGAGAGTGTCAAACGGCCTATTCAGGAAGGCGTCCAGCAATGAAGATTTGCCAGCCCCTGAAGCACCCAAGACGTAACACAGCACGACATTGCGTTCTACCTTGCCTGGGCGTCTCCTGCGCTTGCGCGACTTGGTCACCTTCAGAGCAGCTGTCGTGGTTTCCCTGGCGGTTGCAGGTTCGAAGCCAAGGTACGCCAGATACTCGAGCGTGGTCTTGGGCTCCATAAAGGTGGTCATGCTCCATTGAGCGAGCCATCCTTGCAGTGTGACGTGCCCAGCCTCGTTGCGTACGGTCGACGATGGGAAGGATGTTTCGATCCAGGAGGCAGGAAGTCCTGGCGTCGGCGCGAAGAGGGCCTCTAGCTCTTTGTCGTTGAGACCTCCATCGTTGTCCTTGTCGAATAGCAAGAACAAATCGACGAAGAAGCGATAGCCAGCCGGGCTCAGTTCTGCTGATGAATACTCGGGTACATCAAACTTGGGTCGCAAGAAGCTGTCTTCCAAGCTCAAGCTGTCTGTGTAGCGGAACTTGCGCAGTATGATCCATATCGTCTCGTGCCGACCCTTCTCCGCGTAGAGTTTGTTGAGTTGCAAGAACCCGCTCTGGTCGATACCCTTCTCGGTCGATAAGTGCGGGACAGACTTGCCAATCGACAGCTTAATGTTCTCGAGATCTTCGGGAGTTAGGGGCTTGTCGAAGCACTTGGACTGGAAGTTGTGCATCTCTTGATCGTTGAGCCACCCGTCTTGGTCCTTATCGCACAGGTAGAAAATGCGTTTGAGGGCGTCGACACAAGCCGGCTTCAAATTCCCCTCCTTGTAATCGAACAGCGGGGCGATGGGGTGGGTGACGGCCTTTTGGCACAGGAAGAAAACTTCGTTGACGTTGCGGTGCTCCCTCGCGCTCGAGCGGATGCACGAATCGATCTCGCGGAACTCGGACATGACAGGAAGCATCTCGCCTTCGACCACCTGCGGCGTGTTTCCTTCGCCCGTCAGGTCGGATTTATTCGCACAGAGCACGACTGGAACATTGACACCGAGGGAGCGGAAGTAAGGCATCCAGAACAGGGCGACGCGCTCATAGCTGTAGTGGTCTGAGTAGACGAGAAGGATGACGTTGCATTTTCGTATCTCTTTCCTGAGGGTTGTTCGGTCCTGAGGGCGGGCAGAGGTGTCGACGATAGTGGTCGTTACGTTCTCGGGGGTGCCCAGCTGTGGAGGGATCGTGATGGAGGGGAGGACGGATTGGA